CATGAAGAAGTATTCGAAAAAACTGCCATCAACTCGGAGTCCTTCTCTTCGGGTAGCTTGTTGTATATTGACGACGAGCGGCTTGCGTGAGAATTGTGCATTTTTCTTAGCGCACGACGTGAACCGTTTTTTCCATGCACAGTAAATGGGTTTGAATGCTTGAGAGGCGACGACACTCCTCGCTGTTTTCTTGCTATCTTATTTCACGTTAAAAAAGCGCGAAGACATCTGAGGCGCTGCACTTTAGAATACAACATGCTACGAAATACACTCCAGGTGTGTGTGCAGTCAGTTTAAAGGCCCAAGTCACAATAAGTATCGCTCAAGTATCGCGGAGTGGCCTTCAAAATAAAACTGTATATGCCAGAAGCTTACCAGTAAAAAAGGAGGACCACTGAAACAAAGCTCTCCATTTTGCAGTTGATTCTGAGCAGTGCATGAGTACTCGGAGAAGAAACACTGAGCGCCCGGATGAGATTCCTGACGACAAGAGCACACAGGCAAGCAGCACTTTTATAGGGCGTCTCCCCCACAAAGTTACGGGGCACTTGTCAACCAGACGTGCTCTCGCTGCGAGGGTCCAGGGCTATTTTCTCGAGGCATCTACCAGTCCAGTAGTTGAGGGAGAAGGTAAAGGAGGAGGGATCAGAGAAGGGAAGGAAGAAAAAAAGGAGGAAAAAGGAAAGAGAAGAGAGGTCCCTCTTGACAAGTACCCGGAGACGCCCCCAGAGAAGGCGCGAGTCTTGAGGACCTATCATCGAACGATTTCGAGCTGCGGAACAGAAAGGTGGGGCGTTATAGCACAATGTTCCGGAGTCGAATTTCGGAGCGTATTTGGTCTGAGCCAATCGAATATTTCATACTATCGGCCTCTTTAACTTCGCACCTGATGCGACTAGGGCAATAAGACCGCTGACAAAGACACATTGCGCCATCGGCATATTGTGGGTAAGTAATGTTTGAAGTCTTGAGCGCGGTGGTTGGCAGTTTTTAAGTAAGGTCCAAACAACCTGCACATGACAGGGCATGAGGACGGGGACATGCGCTAGTAAGCCGCAGCCGGGCAGATTTTTTTCCAACTGTAGCAGGTTCAGGATGGTGTGAATGTTGGAACAAGGCCGCCCTGGCTGAGCTCCAGTACGCGCCTTGTCACACGCCCTAGCGTTTGCAGGGACGGTGACTCTATATTAAGGATAATGAACCTTTTAAAAACCACCTTGCTTTTCGTCTACGTTCTCAAACGAATTCGTTTCGTTACCATTGAGGCCCCGAACTATTGTCCCCCACCCCTCCCCACCTGTGTTCAGAATGTCATCAGGATCCAGTTACATGCGTGCCCTCTTCGTTCATAACAAGTACAAGTACCTTTCTGGTGGTTTTGTTTTTTTCATCACATCATCGGGAAAGTGTAACCACATTAAAGACACATGGTACGCTCATACACATTGAGGGTGTATGAGACTATCAGCCCCCAGATGTCGATGTGTCGTGGTCCCCCCGCCCAAACATGCCCAGGAATGGAGATACAGGGCCGTGAAACACGCTAATTCTTCCATGCTCCGCCCACTTGCCTTTACGGCGCCAGATTCCCGCCGTTCATAACATCCGTCGTAAGCGCGCCTGTCGCGTGCGGCTCCTTGGCACTTTGCCAAGTCCTTTAATTGCGCTCTCAAGGAAAACGCAATTTCCTGATGCGGATAACATTGGAGGTGCTACAAAATAAGAGCAGAAGATGATGACGAGGGTCAGAACCTAAAAGCAACTGTGCCACTTCTGCAACATCCCTCGGAGGCCACGTATTTCACGAAACATGAAAATAAAAACGGCATACTCGTTAGTTTAATACAAGCAAGACGCAATTTCCTGATGCGAATAAAATTTAAGGTGTTGCTCATGCTTCAAAATCCATGTACAAGGAGATGAAGATGACACAGGCTAGAAATGAAGCACAACGATGTAAATGTAAACAAAACAAAAATGAAAAAATCAAGGAAAGGCAAATTAGATAAACTGGCCTGTAAATTTCTACGATCCGGCGCCAAAGCCATAGAAATACTTAGAACAAACGAGTGGGACGCTTGGGCTGTTTTTATTTTCATGTTTTGTGGGAATGCGCGGCCCTTGATGGATACTGCAGATGCAGCCGAGTTGCTCTTGAGTTCTGCCCCTTGTCATCATCTTCTGCTCTTATTTTGTAGCACCTCCAATGTTATCCGCATCAGGAAATTGCGTTTTACTTGTATTTGAGAGCGCAATTAAAGGACTTGGCAAAGTGCCAAGGAGCCGCACGCGACAGGCGCGCTTACGACGGATGTTATGAACGGCGGGAATCTGCGCCGTAAAAAGGCAGTGGGCGGAGCATGGAAGAATTAGCGTGTTTCACGGCCCTGTATCTCCATTCCCGGGCATGTTTGGGCGGGGGGACCACGACACATCGACATCTGGGGGGCTGATAGTCTCATACACCCTCAATGTGTATGGAGCGTACTATGTGTCTTAAGATATCACAATGGAAGCTTCGGCTCTCAATACATTGAGCGAGTTAGTTATCGTATGACACCTCTCTGGGTTGGCAGGGGGGGGGCTGCAGACGGGCCAGTTTCTTCAACGTGATGCTTGACCCTGTCTATAGACGGCACACTGCAGCCCTCTTCGTTTTTTTGATTGTGCCTTCATTTTTCTTTGGGCGATTTTTATCAATTCTGGCTTCACATCTTTTTCCTCATTCCCCTTTGGGCTTGTGCTAACGCTCGCGGTGCCTATTGCAAGAAATAATAAATAATAAATAAATAAATAAATAAATAAATGGATAAGTGGTAGCCTACCCAACATTCCAGTTCTATTACTGAGAATTTTTGAAGAAACAGCTGTTTTGGTGGAACTGCGACTCTTTTTGAGTGCTTACGTCGCCTTCATTTTTCATTGCTGAAGGCTTCATGCATTCCGAATGGCCGCTCCACCT